CGGCTGCGATTGGCGCCGGTGCCCCCCCCCGTGACCCCGTTCAGGGATAAGCGGTAGAAAATGAATGAATGAATGATATTGTCTGTGCGGAACCATCCTCTGGAAACTCATTTCCCTGAGCTCCTCTAACATGGCAGTGACTCAAAAAGTCACCGTCATCATTAGAGAAAAGGCACAGAGCTGAACAAAGCCACAGTGACACATAATGAAGGCTTCAATGCTCGACAAGGCTCCACAACATCGCTGTGCAGATGTGTTCGCGCTAGGCAGCGTTCCAGTTTTCTGGTATAATTAGCCCATTTATAATAGTGGCAGAACTGGGTGTAATTCATTTTCACTACTTAGAAGTGTCACTTTGACAAAACTGCAGTGATGTAAATAAACACGTCCACGTCAAACACTGAGCTCATTAAACTATGCAGATGTGAAAAAAATCTCTGAAACCTGAAGATCCTCTTTTCAAATTCTGATTCTGATTACTGATAGAAACGCCACTATCCACTTAAGAAGATGCCGTTAAAGGCTTAAATGATTCCCCTGATTCCACTCCTGCCTTTGTACCCTGGACGTCAGACTATATAGTCCTGAAAATGCCATCACCCACTGCTGGTTTGACCTCAGTGTTCTCAGTGACCTTGGCAACTCAGCTGCCAGTTCCTACCATAAAAACTGAAATAATCACATTTAAATGATTACAATGGGGGGACAGGGTTTAACCAAGCACGTCCTGCCCACATGCACAGAGAATTAGCTCTCATTTTTCCCACTGTGACGATCCTCTTAAAACACAACAAATAAATCACTCCTTGAGGGTTAATGGCTCCTGCAGGAGCCTGTGGTGAACACAGAGGCAGGAAACATCGCACTCGTATTCCTTTTTCTCTCTTATTACTAGGCAGTATTCCGCCAAGACAATAACTCTGAGAACCTTTATTCTGCGTTACAAGGAGGTGAGTTGAAACTGCTATGAGTGACGTCAGCCTGTCAGCACCCCTTTAATCGTTCAAATCCCGAGTGATTGAGAGCATGTGATGGGAACTCACCATGATCTCTCAGAGGGAAAAACAAGGACTGGTGTAGCAGAGCGCTGCGGTCATTCGTTTCTAATTATTAATACAGGAGGCTATAAACTGTTGTTTGACTCATGGCTTTACCACAACAAACTGTTTCTATTGCTTTCATGCTCTTCCAAAGGTACCACCAGGCTGTCGTTCTTGCAAAACCAACAGCTACAGGCAGCAAGTTTACAAGTGTATTTTGGGACTCTCAAGGGCATTCTGAGAAATGTAGGAAGTCACTGACTAAAGCTGAAGTGCTGTAGATATTCCAGATTTTTGTAAAGACTGAAAATATGTTTGAGAATGCAACAGCATCCTTTATAAACTATAGTTCAGCGATTATGGGATGTACTGTAGATGTAAATGGATGTGAGCATTAATATACCTCAGCTGCTAATAAATGTGGATTTAAAGGACCTTTTCACCTCTAGTAGCAATATGAAGCTGCTTTTCTATAAGTGAGTGCCTGTTTTGTTTATCTTCTGCACACGCATGAGGACGTACATGCCCACATGTACGCACACGGCTGATGTGCAACGGTTTGACACCCCTATTCACTTATCAACAGGTGGCGGTAATGCACCAACCAAGGCAGGGAAGCAGAAAAAGCCTGCAAGCTAGTAAATAGTGTGCAACCGATACTGGGTTTTATATCCTTATTTATGATTGAGGTTTAATGAGGAAAGAAATACGTTCAGCTCTTCCAAGCTCAGGGATGCACAGTGCGGTTTGCTGAGAAATACTGAACAGTCAGTGCTCATTTCGCTCTAATATCTATCTCATTGATGTTTTAGCCTTGTTAGCTGCATGGGTCTAAGGATATTGGTCAGGTGATCCATCACTTTCAGTCCAGACTGAATTATCTTAACAGCTTGGCTACGGATCCCAAATTATTAACTCTGTGATCATCTAATTTTTCCTCTAGCATTGAATTGACATTCATGGATTTGGCATCCCTATCAGTCTCAGCAGTTTTTAGCTAATTAGCAAATGTTAGCACGCCAACACGATAAATTAGGATTGTGAGCACGTCCTGCATTACACCTGCAAAACATCTCCATGTTAGCATTTTCACTGACAGCATGTTGCATGCTGCCCTTTGTGTGGCATTTGGTTCAAAGCACAGGTGTGCTGCTAGCATGTCTGCAGTCCTTCCAGCTCGCAGTCATTGCCCACAAACAACCTCTCTTTTGGCAGAAGGGTCCATGTTAAAACTAGTGTTACTTTTCTAGATGTTTCTGAGAAAATTCCTCGACCACCAGTAAATGTGATACACATTGAGCTCTCAATTCAAAAAGGTCATTTGCTCTGGGACATGCCCATTTGTAGTTGAATGCCAGCTCCACCGAGATTGCAGACTGGTTTTACAGTACAGGAAGATTCATATCCAGTTTTCTTGATGGGCAGGGTGCTTGCTTATCACAGTCATTTCCTCTGACAATAACAGGAAGCCCAGTGATGTAGAATGTTTTCATCCTGCTGTGACCTGACAAGCCAAGTGGGAGCTGGAACCGAACATCTCTCTCTGTTTCCTCCCAGTGTGTTTGACAAACTCTGCAACTCAGCAGCTAAAACCTAACATGAGACAAGGCTACCTTTTCATTAGCAATTATAATGTTTTCACCAAAGTGGCAGCAGCTGAAAAAAGGGAGCTTGTAATGTTGCCTCCTTCTCTGACGGGTCCTGCATGAAACTATCATTACTACTCCCTGTGCCATTATAGCTGCTAGCCGCAGGCCGGTCAACTTCACGTCACAGTATGTGAATATGGATCAGCCCCCCTCCATACAGGCTGAGGTCATATCTGAGTCACTGCACCAGCAGATGACTAAGATCAGATAAGGCTGAATACTTACACTTACCAAAATGGAGGACATTTCTCATAGCTCAGAGTTGAAAAGTGTGTCAGTACAGATAAGTCCCTTTCTGTAAGACTAGGGTGTGGATGGGAAAAGTGTGCTTTGTTTATCTGTTTGCCTTACACTCATCTCATTAACTCTGCATGCTACAGCACTTCTGCACACACCAGGTTGTGTATCAGTAAATCTTTACTGCCCAGAAGCATTAAATTTTAATGAATACATTGCAGTTGAGCACATGTGTAAAACTGTATTTTTATAGAAGAAAATCATCAGCTGTGGCCGATTCCTTGGATTCCACGAGTCCAGTCAGATTACTTCCTGAATAATACTTTATGCTCCCAGCAGACAGTGTATTTATAGTCCCCTCCTGTGCCTTAGAAGTGACTGGGGAGCTGAGTCTAGTTTGCTTGGCACAGAGGAGTTAGCTAAGGTGTCTCCTTTCTCTATATTTGACAGCATCCAGTTCCTATAGGGCTTGTGCAATATTAAGCTACATTTAACCAGCAAATATGCATCTGAATATAGGACAGAATTTTCCTGTTTTAATCTAAAAATAGACTGTTAACAAGAAAATATAGGCATTTAGATTGAGTCTGTGCTTGTGTATATGCTTTTAATTTCTAAATACCCAATGGGTGTGCTAAAATTTACTGGACAATTAAAGCAATTTTCTATAAGTGAGACAATTTCAAATGCTAAAATATATGAGAATTCATTCTAGAGGCATCACTATTATAAACCATGGGATGTACAATACTGTATGTGTTTAAGTCACATTAGCTACAATTACATACTTTATGTCAGCTCATAGTAAATACTACTTAGTACATTAGTAAACCAGGCTGGGTATTTCCAATATATCATTAGCCTATATTGTAATTTGCTTGCACTCTGTGTTTCCAACAACATGCCTCCTCTTTACATTTGTTATAAGGGCACCAACCTGTCTGCCCAATTCAGATACAAAAGTTGTCCCCAGTCGAACCAAGTCCATTTTCATTCCAAAGCCTTTAAATGTACAGATGTAGAGCAAAAAGCGAGCTGTAAAGGGAAATGTCACCGAGGAGCTTACATAATACAGATAGAAATAACCACAGGCTCTGTGAGCGGTGTATTTGTCTGATAAATGATGGGGAATATGTGTCTATGAATGTCTCGCACTACGACAGAAGAAACAAGCGCCCCCTTCTACAACATGCACGCGCAGAACCGACAGCCTGGACGTTTTTATTTGGAATAGCGTGAGCTAATATTGCCTGGAAATATCGACCCGAACAGGCAAATCTGGAGGAAATCCGAGCCGGACGCAAGCACCTGGATCTAGCCCGGGTTTCCAGTTTCTGGCCAAAGTTTTCAAATCATAAAAAAAGGAAACCATCTGATGACGAGCACAAAAAGCAAAGCTCCGAGCGCCTTACCTCGATCCAGAGTGAGCGGTTGGACCACTACCACGGAGCTGCTGGAGGAGATGCATTCTTTATTCTTAGGAAGAGGGATGGGAGGGGTGTGTGTGTGTGTGTGTGAGAGAGAGAGAGAGAGAGAGAGAGAGAGAGAGAGAGAGAGAGAGAGGGGAGAGGGAGAGAGAGAGAGGGAGGGAGAGAGGGGAAGAGAGGGAGAGGGAGAGAGGGAGTGGGAGAGAGAGGGGTTAATCTACAGCACCTCCATCCTCATATCACTTGGTATTGTTTGCTTTACACACAAGCAGTGAAAAATATAAATGTTTATTATGGCATAATCACATAGAACCAAACAATCTGCCCTTATAAAAGATGGAAACAAGTGAAATCATAGAACACTTTTCACACTTGTTTTCAGAAACCTGATTTTATATGTTAGATGAACTTTCTTGTTAAAACGGGTGATGGTGTTTGATTTAACATGCTGCTTCTTGTCTTCCACGAAGGCTTTTGACATGATTTTGGATCCTGGCTGCAGGCTCCTGGCTCCTGTTCAGACACCAGAAGCCTTAATGAGGTTGGCCACTGATGCTAAGTTTTTCTTTTGTAGGACAGTCAAGTTCTTTTGCGCCAATCTTGGACCATGCTTTGTGCATGAAGATATTGTACACACATTTTCCCTAACTAGGACTCACTGGTCTCAAATAAACCATGAACAAATAGATACATATGAATAGACACCCAGTATGTTTGCTTACATAGAGCGTCCCATCAAAGGTTTGCACTAACATCCAGGTAAGTGCTGTGTAATAGTTTCTAACAATGTCAGTCATGCAGCAGTCATTGGTGGCCCATGTTGGCATGCTGAACCTCACTACCACTGTATGTGTGCCAGTGTGTTAGCCATGTATAATCTATTCACCCACTGCACTTCAGCGACCGGTTGATTTCCACCACATTTGGTTTATTATGACCCACTGAGCCATGCTGCCTGTTATCTCCTCTCTTGGCAACATGCATGCAGTCTGATAAGGACTGAATGATGGTAGTGAACCTTAGTTGAAGGGCTTAAGGATTAATCCTCATGTTTATGTGCTTCCATGGAACGGAGCCAGACCACTGACTCTCTTCATCTACTGTAGATCTACTGCCTAATGGTGCCTGCTGCTGTTGCATATCTCATCCAAGGCCAATCATTACAGTTGACAGAGGCGGTGCTCAACAAAAACAAGCTGTGAATACTTGGTTGGAGGGGATGTTAGGAAGTATGACGTGTCACATGGCTTGCAAACCATGATTTCACCATGACAAATGCAAGCTGTAAACACAAATACACAACTGAGGCAAGACCCAATATTTAGGTGTTCATGTGCACATATACAGTGGGGCAAATAAGTATTTGATACACTGCCGATTTTTCAAGTTTTCCCACTTACAAAGAACGGACAGATCTGTAATTTTCCATCGTAGGTACACCTCAACTGTGAGACACAGAATCTACAAAAAATTCCAGAAAATCCCATTGTTAGATTTTTAAATAATTTATTTCCATTTTATTACATGAAATAAGTATTTGATACAATAGAAAAATAGAACTTAATATTTGGTACTGAAACCTTTGTTTACAATTACAGTGGTCAGACATTTCCTGTAGTTCTTGACCAGGTTTGCACACACTGCAGCAGGGATTTTGGCCCACTCCTCCATACAGGTCTTCTCCAGATCTTTCAGGTTTTGGGGCTGTCGCTGGGCAACATGGAGTTTCAGCTCCCTCCATAGATTTTCTATTGGGTTCAGGTCTGGAGACTGGCTAGGCCACTCCAGGACCTTGAAATGTTTCTTACAGAGCCACTCCTTAGTTGCCCTGGCTATGTGTTTGGGGTCATTGTCATGCTGGAAGACCCAGCCACGACCCATCTTCAATGCTCTTACTGAGGGAAGGAGGTTGTTG